TTTTTTTTTTTTTTTTTTTTTTTTTTTTGCCTTTTCATTGCTTGCTTCTTGGGTTTGTTGTGTTTGGTTTGGAGGATCTTGGCTTGTCAAAATGTAAAATGTATGCTATTTTTTCTTTACAAAAATGAAATTGTGATCTTATGCTTTTTTTTTTTTNNNTGGTTCAAGAAGGCTAATTTATATATTCCATTATTTGGTAATTAATTAGAATTTTAGGATTAATTTACATATTTGAAGTGATGAACTTGATCCGTCGTCATAATTTTTAATTTAATTACTTAATGGGCAATGATTTAAATAATCTTTTTAAATCTCAAAAAGTAATTTAAAAAAAAGTTTAATAATATAAGAATTTTTTTAAATATAAAACTATAAAATTAAATTGTTCTTTTTTTTGTATGAAAAAATAAATAAAAACTAATTATTTATATTAATGGCTCTAGCTTTATTCAAGGGTCACAATAATAATAATCAAACAACTAGAATCATGAGTAGTGAAGTACTCCAAGGAAGATTTTGTTGTACTTGTTCTTATTTTATTTTCATTTTTTGCTAAATAATATAATACTAATACATTTTGTAGTGCCTCCAATGTGGAGTTTAATAGTGCTAAATAAATTATTTAGTGGGATTGATGATTCATAACACCAAGATACACATATATATATATATATATATAGTTTTATGCATTAGTTTATTTTTTTGTTCCTAAAGTAAGCTGCAGTCTTGGCTGGCTTTGACCAAACCTTAATGACTAATCTCCCACTTTAATATATAAGTATTAATTGTTAATTAATTATTCTCTTTTGCTTTGTCAATTTGTTTATTTATTTATATATATTGGCTGACACTTGAAAAATGAAGACTGTCAGGTTTTAAGATTCTCCCCAACTGTTAATAAAGCATAGTGAGTAAATTAATGTCTGATTTGCAATCAGATTTTCAGATATATATATATATGGAATTTATAGATACAAATAACAAAGTCTTGAGTCATGTATCATGACTTTACAGCGCATGGGAAGCACTATTTGCACTATATATCCACTTGTTACCAAGTTAAGTAAATCAATTTTTTCTTTTTCTTTTTTTCTTTATTGAAAAAATATAATTGGAGAAAATACATATCTTTATTAATCCCATAGTTTGATATAATATTTTAGGATAATTGGCTGGTACTGGCTCGCGTCTTCAAATCAGGTCACGTAGTAGCAACCGGACAATTTACAGTATAGCCGTAGCAGCATCACATTATCTCATCGAGCCGAATAGGACCCGAAAATTCCGACTATAGCTACTACGGCATCAGATTATCTCGCTCAATCACCACTGAGAAACCCGACAATTCTGCGTGTCACTAGCACGCGTTATCTCATTGGTAAGTAGCAACAACTCGACAATTCACAATATAACCGTAGCAGTATCACATTATCTCACCGGGCCGCGTCCGACCCGACAATTCCGCATATAGCTACTACGTCATCAGATTATCTCGCCCAATCGCCGTAGAAACCCAGAATTGAAGCACTATTGCACTGTATATCCACTTGTTACCAAGTTAAGTAAATCAATTTTGTCTTTTTTTTTCTTTATACATATCTTTATTAATCCAATAGTTTGATATAGTTTTAGGATAAAAATTTACCTCCACTAGTAAGTAGATATAATTCACTTTGGTAAGGAGACAATTTTTTTTTTTTAAAAAAAAAAACAAACAAGACAACAAAATTTGAAATCAAACAAAAAAGATTTTGGTTAAAATTATGGTTCCCAAATCCACCCATAAAGACAAAATCACCTGGTGATAGAAAAATTTCCCATGTCTAAATTGACTTAAATATGTGATGTCATTATTATTTGGCACATGTAACAATTTCATTATTTAAACAATAATATTTTTTTATTGTACTATTTCATGACTTTAGGTGTGAATTGCCATGACTTTAAAGGACTTAAAAAGATGTGAAATTGAGCCCACAATGCTTCATTCAAATTAAATATAAGTGAAAATTATGTAAAAATTTGATAATCATTTTTATCAATATTTACTGCATGTGACAATTGTGTTGTGGTCAACAAGCGCATGATTATAATTTGAAGGGCTGCTAACTGTTGTCAAGATTTTGAAATTCAATGTGATGACTATTAATTAGTATCACAATTTGATTTTTCTCCCATATGTTATTTTTATTATAAAAAAAAAAAAAACATCCTCAAGCTACTATCTATTGTGCACATTTTTCATTATTTTTATTTAATTACATTTAGGATGTGTTAATGAATTGAACGTTGGCGAACGAACAAACACTCTTTTTCGCATTCAACATGAATTCGTTCAATAATCATACGAACACGAGCCTGTTCGCAAATGTTTCATAATATTTGCGAAGATCATAATATGATTTGATTTTATTTTTTTAATTTATATGCATGATATTTTTAGTAACAATATAAATATAAAAACAATATATTTTTTATTTTCAAGTTCGAATGAATAGGTTTCGAGTTAATCAAATATTTTATAAAAAAATATATTTACTGCATTATAAAAAAACGAACGAGCTCAAACATTGCCGAATAATCAAACAAACGAGTTTGAGCACGATATTTTTATTTCAAAAATGTGGAACGAATACATTCGAACATAATCGAACACGAGCTCGAAATTCTAAGCTCGGGTGTTTCGATTGGATTACAATGCTTATCACATTAATTAGTCATTTAGATTAACGTCGCTATTTACTGTAAATTGTAATGTTGTTTTTAATCATTTTACTCAAATGATAATACATAGATAAATAAAATAAAATAGAAAAATGAAGAATGGATATATTCATAACTCATAATAAGAGCTAAAGAAATTTAAATATTGACCCGACAACATGTGAACACGTAGCAAACCTAAGTTGACTCGCGTTGCTCCATGAATGATCGTACTGTTCTAGGAAGGAATGTGTGGGCCCCACAGACATTCTCCAATCCGGCAAGCGTGCTCTTATCATGGGTCCCACAGCCCCCATCAAATGCTGGCCCCCACCACCGGCCACCATTATTCCGCTGCGCACTATTTTTCCACTTTTACCCAAATGCTTAACTCTATTTTATTTATTTTGTTCTACTTATTTTGGTTTTATTTTATTTATTATTGAGGTGACGTGTATGGAAAAAGAAAAATACTTTAGTCTCGTTATGGAATTATTCCGTTAAGATTGTAACCGTTAGATCAACTATCTCTGACGATTATATGATGATTTAACGGTTACAAACTCTGACAAAATGATTTCATAACGAGCAGGGGCGGAGCCACCCCAAAGGCTGGGTGGGCTCCAGCCCAGGCTAATTCAAAAATTTCAAAGAAATGTATATATATTTCGGCCCATATTTGAGAGCAGCCCAGGTTCAATAGTAACAAAGTGACTCATGCATTTATATGGAAAAGGCTAATTAGCCCAATATTATTTACATC